TACTTTTGACAAATAAGCAAAATACCATAGATATTCGTTAGACTAATCTTATAAAATTACCCATGTAGAAGAGTGTATTTAATTAAGATTTCAACTGATATTTTAAGATTTGAGTTAGTTTTTATAGTGGTTACATGTGTGAGTAATATTTAAAATTTATAAAATTTATAAAAAAATTGAAATATTTCGAAATTTTTTATTTAAATTTGAGCGTTAATATTTGGATTCGAAAAAAAATTATATTGGCATTGTTTGTTAAATAGCATTCTGGCCAAAATGCTACTTTAGCTTCTTTGACCAAAAATTGAAAAATATTGATTGTATTTATGTTTGGTTAAGCTTTTGAGTTCCTTATCTGCCAATTGAATCGCTGAAATTGAACAGCTGGCTTTTAGAGCATTTTGGATTAGCTTATTTGAGTTTATAATTCAAATATTTTGTTCCATTGCTTATCCGTATAATTTGGTATGTTAATATGCCTTTATTCTTTTTCTTTTTTTTTTTTTAAGCGTGAAAACAAAGAGTTGTCTACTATTAAGCTATATTAATATTTTAATATTAAAAAATACTAATACATGTGCATAATTTATGGTCAATAATGAGTAGTTTGTTACATAAGTCAATAGTCTAATGTTCCTACTTTTAGATCAATAGTCTAAAATACTGATTCTCTCTTCTGAAACGACAATTATCTCCTCTGAGATTAGCAGGTTCCCTCGAATGCAGGCCATTAATTCTAACTATTGTTAGATTCTAGTGATATTAATTCAGGTGCTATATTATCTGGATAATTTATTCCAAAATCTATGTCCTTTTCTTTTTATCTCTTTCTGCGGTCAATTAGGGTTTCCAATAGTTATTTTTCTTTGTTTTCTTTTTCATTTCTCTATTTTGCAGGTGCCTCTTTTATCCCCTGCAATTGGTGCAACGTGGCAGAGGATTTATCCTCTAAGCCGAGCTCTTTTCACCTATCAGAAAAAGAATCAGCTTCAGTGGCAATTGATCCCGGGGATATCAAACTCAGTTCAGAAGAATGTAAACGCAACATCATCGAAAAAATTATTGGGAGTAAAATAGCTAATCTTGCGGGATTAAGAAGAACTATTGGGCAAATCTGGCAAATTAGTGCTCCAGTAAATATTCGGGAAATTAGACCTAACTTATTCCAATTTATCTTCTCTAATGTCCAAGATAAAAACAGAGTTCTCAAGGGTATAAGATGGATATTTGAAAATCAGTTCTTAATCCTTCGAGATTGGAGAGATGACATTTATGAAGATCATCCTCTTTTCCAAGAAATGGACATCTGGGTTCAGGCATGGAAACTCCCACTACACTGGCTCTCGACTGAAGTTGGACTCAAAATAGGAAGATCCTTCAAGAGAGTTATGGATGTGCAAGTTCCCCAAGGAGGACCATTCTCAGGCAAATGTCTCAGGCTCAGAGTCACATTGGACCTAAATCAACCCATTCCACGGTGTGTTCCCCTTCATATGGAGGATCAAAAAATTCTGATAAAATTCAAATACGAAAAACTTGTTAGCCTTTGCTTCTACTGCGGTATGCTCGGACACTTGGACAAAAATTGCAATCAGAGATCTGAGGATATTGCTCTTGGTAACGTTAAGACAAGTCAATACGGAGAATGGATCAAGGCTCAAGAAACAGGCTCTCCTGTGATTCGTAGCATCTCCATCGCCCAAACATCTTTACCTATAGCCAACAATAACACCCTACCTTCAACCATTAATCCTTCTTCAGATACCCCCTCTATTTCTAAAACTACCATCAGTCTTCCATTAAACCAAATCAACCAAACCAGCACCTCAGACACTAACCCCCCTCAACCTGAACCAGACCATATATCTAATACCCCATCTTCCACTGAGCACCAAAACCATCATACAGACCCAAATGTTCCTCTCAACATGCCTATGGAAACTGAACCAACTCTTATCAAGGAGAAGAAACCCAGCAACCCTGAGGATCTACCTATTACTACTTCACCTATTTGCCCTCAACCCTCTCAGGACCCTAAACAACCTATCATCAAAGGATGGAAAAGGCTAACCCAGCATAACAGGCCATCCACAACCCCACCAAACAATCATAATTCTCTTAGTAACAAAAGATCACTGTTTATACAGATAACCAGCTCTACCTCTGATTTAGTTACTTCCACCTCAGATGCTCAAGAATCCCACCAATCCAAAAAGCAGAAAATCCAATCTTTAAGGGTGAAGGAGGCCAGCCCTAATAGGCCCCACCCATATCAATGAAGATATTTATGTGGAACTGTAGAGAGTTGGGTAGCCCCTCTACAGTCTCTCAACTGAAGGAGCCCCTGAGACTTCACCACCCTGTTTTGGTTTTTCTCTCAGAAACAAAAAAAAAAAGGAAAAATTCCTTTGTAAATATTGTTTGTAGAAAGTTAGGAGTAGGTGATAATTGGGCTTCAGTTGAGCCAGTGGGCAAGAGTGGAGGGATGCTGGTGTTTTGGAACTCTTCAGTTGCCATTCTGCAGTTAATCAAGCATTCTTTTTGTGTGGCAGTTGAATTCTGGGTTGATCAAATAACAGCTCATTGTTGGGGCATTTTTCTCTATGCTAGTAACGATATAATATCAGGCTCCAACAATGACATTTTTTATTTCTTAAAAAGAGAAGTGGGGGTGCAACTGGTTCTTAGGAGAAGACTGCAATGATATTACCTGTCAAGAGGGAAAAAAAAGAAGGAAAAGTCATATTGCAATCCTCTTTCAGCCTTTTCAATGACTTTATTGCAGACATGGGTATGCAGGAATTTCAAATGCAAGGTCACCCCTTCACTTGGGGGGATAACATGCAGAATGAAGGATTTGTGGAGGAAAAGCTAGATCGAGTGTTTGGTTCCCTTGGATGTTTCAATCTCTTTCCTAATGCCATAGTTACCTACAATTTTAAGAGCTCTTCTGCTCATCTAATCTCCTTCCAGTCAGAACCAACATGTTCAAAAGGGGAATTGTTCTTGATGTCATATGTCCTGCTTCTGGTGAATCTGAAGAAAGCTTAGAGCATCTATTCTTTCATTGCCCTAGAGCACAGCTTATATGGAAGCTTTCTCCACTAAGCTGCGATGAGATCAGTAATGACTCACTCTGTTTCAAGAACTGGTGGACAAAAATTTGTAATCTTCACTCTTCCTCAACTTCAAATGCTAGACTGCAGTTAACATCTTACATTTTTTGGAGCATATGGAAATCAAGGAACCAGATCATTTTCAAAAACCTTAGAAGACCTGAGATCTCAATGGTTAATGCGACTTGCTCAAAATGGCTGGAAGTCAGCTCAAGTTCCCTCTGTTGATCTTGCATGTTTAGTTTTGTTGTTTTGTCTGTAGTCTGGATTTTTCTTTTGGTTTTGTTTTTCTGCTTTGTGGGTGTAGTTTTTTGTGTTTGGTTGGCTTCTTTTGTAGTGCATCAGACTAGGTCCTCCTGGTTCAGTTGTTTGTTGCCTTTTTGCTGCTCCTTTGAGCCAAAAATGAGAGTATTGCTCACGGATTCAGGGCTTTGCCACTGCCGACAACAAGATTCTTCATTTTTGTTGGTTATGTTAGATTAGGGTGTTTTCTCTCTTGTATCTTATTCTGCCTAGTGGCATGAATCAGACTATTTAGCCTGCACTTTGTACATTTGTTTATGTTATGAGTAAAGTATCTAGCGTTTCGAAAAAAAAAATCTAAATCTAATAATTTTACAAATTACCATTTACTGTTATGTTATTTTATTTCCTATTTTAAAGATCCAAAAATTATGTATATTGTTGCAATTAATATAAAGATTGATGTGCAAATTAAATCATTTATATTATATCGTTCATTTTTACTAATGATAAACTTTTTAAAATGTGATATGCTCATTATTTAATTTATGATATTAAATATTACATATCTACACACATATAACATATAAATTTTATTTTGCGTTTCTGCAAAATATAAATGATAATTGTTAATCATTTACCAAACACAAATTTTGTGTAAATAAAATATTAATATAAACACAATTCTTAAGGGTGATAGGATTGGATAAGGTTGGTTAACCAACCTTATCCTTCATTTACTAGGTTGGTTAGGGATAATGATAGAGCTGATGTGTGAAGTGCATGGCATGTGGGACCTACATCATTAAACTGACGTGCGTGGTTTATTTTGTCCGCCCAATTTGGCGGGATATTTTATCCCAAGCCTTATGTTCCGATTTTGTCCAAAAATTAGGCTGGAAATTTTCTTTTCTACCCCTCAAAATTACAGACCTATTAAGAAAAAAAATCTGATATTCAAGAGCTGCTTCACATCGTCTTCTTCTTGCCCTATTCCTCATCATTTTCCTGCAATAGAAGTCCAGAATCTGAAATAGAATTCACAATTAAACTACCAATAAGAGCATGAACTTGTGAAACATCCTTAATTTAACAAGCATGCGACCTCTGCTCCTCTGACCCGACGGTGCCCAAGCCGTTGAAGCCGAGCCGACAACCTTCAGCTGCGTCCTACTCCTCGTCTACCCGTCTTCGTCTGCGTCGTACTCCTCGTCTACTCCTCGTTGTTGTCGTATTTCTAGGGTTCCACAGATTTAACAAAATCGAGCTCCAAATTTCGTGTCTCGACTTGGATGGGGAAGAAGAAAGAGTGGGGGTAAATTTGACATTCCATCTTTTTAACAAATTTGCAACCTGATTTAGTAAATAGAGGATGGGGATTAAAAGAAATTGCATCCTAAAAGGTAAACATTGGTGAAAGCTGACTCATTGGACTATTAGTCCAATCCCATAATATCCCCATCAACCCTAGTAAATGAGGCCTTAAAGTATTAATTTTTATGTAAATATAAATAATGAATTAGTAAACAGTTGAGCTTACCAAAACACAATTCTACAAAGTGCTAATGCAATCCCTCGATCAAAACAACTAATGCAATCCGCAGGTCAAAACAACTGATACAATCCGCTAACCGCCAACAAGTGACCGCCGATTTGTAGGAGTGAGTAAAACCGAGCCGAAACCAAAAAAATCGAGCCAAACCGAGCAATTCAGTGTGGTTCGGTTCAGTTTGTTCGGTTCGGTTTGGTTCAATTTTTTTCCAACACTGCGGTGAGGTGCGGTTATAGTTTTTCTTAAGTTCGATTTTCGGTTTTGTTGCGTTCGGTGCTGCGCGGTTTTACCCCGAACCGCACCGAATTGCATAAAATATACATAAAAATTGACATAAAACCTAAAAATCAAACCGAGACGTGCATTTCGGTGTGGTTCGATTCGGTTATTTTAGTGTATGTAAATTTCAGTTCGTTTTTTAAAATTGCGATGCGATTCGATTATTTTTTTTGTCAAGTTCGATTTTCGATTTTTTGCGATCGGTTTCACTACACCATTGCTCACCCCTACCGATTTGCCAAACAAGCCAATATCCGGAGGTTTTTTCAGATTGTCAAAAGCTTTGCGGTGGGCAGTGGGTGAAGGAAAACGACGTCATCTGCCACACGTCCCCTCCCTCCTCCTGCCACCACGCCAACTTTTCATTTTTTTCCCGAAAAGCTTACTGCTCAAAACGAAAATTCCGAGCAATTGATTGAGAAAAAAAAAAGGCCAAAATGGAAGGAGTTAAACAAGGTAGGGCTTACTCGAGGTACGCGGCGGAGACCCCCACATCGCCGCCGTTCACCGGTCCTGTCCGGAAGTGGAAAAAACAGTGGGTCCCCGTCACCGCCAATTCCAGCAATCGAACTCCACCTCTTCTACTCTGCCGCTGGGTCCCACTCCCCGACGACGCCCATCCGCCGCCCGCCCGCCGCTTCCGTTACACTCCGGTAATGAACAAATAAATTTTCCCATTATTTAATTTTAAAATCTTTTTTTATATGTTTTCTTTAATTCCCTAGTTATAGTTTTCTTCGCTCGCGATTCGAGACACTCATAACTGCTTGTGAAATTGTTGGTTATGAGATTAGAAAATTAACAATAATAAAGCATTTTCCCTTTCTTTTGGGGGAGTTATGGGAGCCATGATTCGCTGACAGAAATAGATATTGTAATAATTTAAGCTTCGGTTGGTTGAGGTTTGATGTTGCATCTCGCAGGTTGCTGCTCTAATAGACAGAAGCAAACAGACGGCTGTTGGTAGTGAAGATAGCGTGATCGTAAGAGATCAACCAAATGATGAGCAGACGATCAGAAATGAGAGTGATTCTGTTCTGGAAAAGCCTGCTGCTGAAGATATTCCTGGTGAAGAAGCTGAGGTTTGTTTTCAAAGTATCTTACTTTTTTGTTCTGATGCTACCCTGACTTTGCCGTGCGTCAATGATATGTATACTGTCATCTGCCTCTAGTTAATGAGAAAATGTTGCAGCCAGGGGCATAGCCATAAAATTATTTTTACCCGGGGCTGAAAACGTGCAGCTGTCCGCTAACATAGTTCGATTTGACTTGTCGTGCAGCTGTCCGCTAACATAGTTCGATTTGACTTGTGAAAGTTCGAGCTCGACTCGCTTTTATATTTAAACGATCGGAACTGAAACATCTATCGAGTTTGTCTATCAAACAACTAACAGATGGAGTCGAACGTCTCCGCGATTAACTTAGTTTGAAGGGTTTTAACCAAGAGTTGAACTCAAGTTCACATTTTGTTTATTTATTAAACAAGTTGAGGCACACCAACTTGCTTATTATATAAGCACGAGTTATCGGGTAATAATACATGCACAAAGAAGTCAAAATATAATTTTTAAATATTCGATATAAATTACATGAATAGTAAATAATATTGATATATTAATGATGTAAAATATAAATATTATACTAGTTTTGTTTTATCAGTAGATGACCCCAACTAAAACTTGTGAATTTATTAACTGTTCTCTTAAACATTACATATGATAAATGATCACTTTTTCTTTCTTTAAGAATTACAAAGATACCATAATTTGACTAGAAAAAACCATAATTTATTAAAAGACTACTATACGATGGTGTAATAGTGCGTCATTCTTGGTATATAACATGTCATTTAAAGTTCTTATGTAATTTCATTTAATATGTCACACAAATAAATGAGTGAGATGTATTTATTACTAAGCTTTATATACTCATATATCATTTGTTTGAAAATCAATGAATATATAAACTAAATTGTGAAATCCATAAATTTAGTTGCATTCTAAATATTCTAATAAAAGTCTTCAAATAATTGTCTTGCATACAATTAATCAAATCAACAGTGTAATCAATTTAACCAATAAACAAAAAATAAACAAGAAAACAAGAAAAAAAAAGTATAATAAGCTAAAAAAAAGTGGAAAGTAATTTAAATTATGTTTAAACATATAATTCATTGATTTAGTCAAAAATAAATCTAATTTCTTTTTGGATAAAGTAAGATTAACATAGGGCTAACCGAATATAAATGAACTAAATATTTTTTACTAGTATATATTTAGCATTGTCGAAATATTAAGACCTGGCTAGAGCACAACCCAGCCTTTGGGGTGGCTCCGCTCCTGGTTGCAGCCTTGAAGATGTGATCCTTTTACCCGATGATTGTGTAATGGTCACTTAATGTATATTACTATTGTATTCTGCACTTTTGTGAACGTTCATGCAATGGTGAGGTGATCATTGATTCTCATGTCTGTTCTTTTACCTCAGAATCTTGGTATCTGTTGTTCTTATTTGGGTATTCTGATTTGGATTATTTTATCTTTCAATTTGGTGATGTCATATGGCTGATGAAGTTGTACATTATATAATGTTTGCGTAATTCATCCCTATTTATCCTGCTAACTCGTTTATGTTCCTTGCAAAAAATTGCTCGGCAACTTATATGACTTGTGCTTGGCGGTCTCTGCTTTCTTTCGTGAAAATCTAAAATGAAATAAATGTTTCAGCTAAAACAATCTTATTGCAAGAACCTTTCCGTAGTTGCATTATTTAGGATTTCATGTTTCAGTTAGGCTGGTATCTTTCCCTAATTGCAAGGTGGCTCAGCAGTGTAGACAAAAATTAATTGCAATTATAAATTGCTCCAATCTGTGCACTGCACTCAACTCCTCTTTTTATTTTCTTGATCCTAGACTCCTAGTAGTTCTGATTCTCTTCTTAACAGTAAGTAAATGGCACCCAGTGAATTTTTGTACTATGGTTTTAAGTGGATTCTTCAAATCAGAAAGATATATATTTTCAAGATACTGTGATCAAGATGGATTAAAAGCTCCATTGGTATTTTTTACCGTCAATACTTCGAAAATATTGACAATTATTTTAAATATTTTTTCTATTTCTGGTAAACACAAACATTTTTATATATATATACATTTACAGATGTGTTCAATTTGACATTGGTTTTTTATAAATTCAAGTACATATCTTCTTGAAATGTGGCACTTTAATAATAAATTGACTAATTACCCTATAAAATAGAAAAGCAAACTTTGATTCATTTAATCTGACAAGAAAAACACATTAATCAATAGGATGTGAGCCATGTCCTTTGAGTGGCCATTTTGGTCATTGCAACATGTTCGTGACTGGGAAAAATATTTGGAATCTGTAGATTTTTCGAACCATCATCAGTAATTTTACTGATGGTCTTTCCGCTCTCTAGCATTTTCGAGTTTCTTAGTGAGGATGTGCCTTAATCTTCACTGGCATGCTTATTACGAACCTGTCCAATTTCTAATAATCAAAACGAAATGTCAGTTTACATAATTATTCATTCATTAGTGAAGGGATTTTATCATGAACAAGATCTGCGTATATGTGAACGAGTGGAAGGATGCTGGAGCTAAATCGTCTATTTTTGTTCTGCAGGAATGGAATGAAGACGATGATGATGCGGACTCAGAAAAAAGTGAAGGAAGCCCTTTCGCCAAGAAAAGGAAAGTGAGCCTAACTGGGGAGGCAAATATGCATATTAGGGTTCAGTGATGTTTTTTGGCAGTGTTTTAAATAGCTTTGTTTCTTCAGGCATGCCAGAACTGAAACAGAAGCCTAGGGGATTTTGTCTTGTAAAATGGAAAAAAGGTAAATATGTAGGTAACAATAGCCAATTCAGTAACATGTACAGGTATGTTTTCTTCTACACACACAATTTTTATGATTCCTTTTGCTACTTGTTTCTCCCTGCCTGATTTTGGATCCTAGCAACATTAACCCAGGATATATTCTACAAATCAAGAAACCATTATTCTGTTTTCTTCCGTGTACGATTCTTCTGAGATGGGCATTTCTTGAAACATTAGACTACACAATTTCTTCTCTTTCAGTCGAGTTGGCCAGTCCAGTAGAATTTTATTTATGTAACTTTTTAAAACGACAATTATATTAATAACTGGAAAACTAAATAAATAGTATAATTGGGTGTCAACTGACACAATAGGAATCACAAAGTCTGGACTTGCCCATTTGGAACACACTATATTATTTATGTAACTTTTTAAAACGACAATTATATTAATAACTGGAAAACTAAATAAATAGTATAATTGGGTGTCAACTGACACAATAGGAATCACAAAGTCTGGACTTGCCCCTTTGGAACACACTAGTCCAAGGGGTACAAACTATATCAAGAAGACAACCGCACATACAAAACTCAACTCCGTAGATGAAACTAGAACTTCATAACGGAGATTGGATGCCAACAGAATTGGGCTTAAGAACAAA